TGACGGGGCAACGACCCAAGATGCTTGCCGACACGCATTGGACATGTATCGTGTTCTAGAGGCAAAGGGTGAGTTGCGCCTCAATGATTTCCTATATGACAACGTTGACTGCGGTCGGCTGTGGGAGTTGGGTGGCCAGCAAGGCAGGAGGAGAACGCCAGTCGCCCAGGATGATGCAAGGAGGGATCCTCGATGGGGTTGGGTGCCATCTGCAGTCCCATTTGGATATGGCCGTGTCAACATGCAAGTGCGTGATATCATGGGCAATGTGTGGAGCGCGCATTATGTGAATGGCATGTTTTCGTTCCGTCATTTCGACAGAGAAGCAACTGTAGAGGAAAAGGAAGCGATGAGATGCAGGCCACGCGATGCACGCATTTCTGACCCGCCACTCGGCAATCCTGTCGAGTTGGCCCTCGCTGAAGGGAAGGTGTTTACTGGTGAGAAGCGCATCACATACGTCCACGTTATGGGGAAAGAAGCCACATTTGATGGTATCTGTATGGACGTATGAGACCATACAGCAATGCGGAAGGATGTCGTCGCAGCCAGTAACATTGCGGCGCATGTGATTCAAGAAGGGCAGTTGTACCAGCATGTGGCCCGTGACATGTACGGGTACCATGTCAACTGGGTACCTGGTTCTTTGCATCCAACAATTGTTGATGGCAAAGTGACACTGGCAGCAAGGATGCAATCCGGTGAGTGGCTGCCTTTGGGTTGGATGCATGCTGGCGTTGTGGAGCATTGGCAGTTCTTGGTGGTGGTGACACATGTTTCCGTTTGCAATCCTCATGTGAGGGACCAGCGATTGCTGGAGGAACACGCTCAACGTTGTTGGGAGAAGATAAGGGAGGAAGATCGACAGATGGTGTGCATGGGATATGACGACCACAATGACCGGGCGATGTGGTTTATTGTGGAAGACGTGTGCACCGACCAACCACAGCCCTCGACGAATAACTTGTTGCTGGAGGGCATTCGACGCAGATACGGGTGCACATCACTACTTGGGTGGGTCCCTGTCGTCTGTCCCATGACATATGAGCATGGGGAACAGATGTGCATGAGATTGAGAGACCCTCTGGGTGTCCCTTTCCAGCTCACGTTCATGGATGGACAACTGCGACACATTCAGTACGCGGGTGATGACGACGGTCGTGCTGCAATCAACCCTCAACAAACAGCATAGCAGCAGCAGGACATTTCACATTTCTCCTCTGAGGTCGACGCCCCGGAAACGGCACATGATGGGGGATGTTCTCACGCACAGCCCGACGACGGTGACACCCCTGTGGAGCACGTGACAGGGAGGGCAGAGAAGAAGAAGAAGCAGTGCACGTCAAGGCTGCCTCGTCATCCCAGGAGTCCCACAAAAGCAAAAGGCAAAGAAAACGTTGTCCCACGGAGAAGCGAGACTCCCAAAGCAGCCGTTGCCCCATCTCCTAAGCGCAGACGCCGCCCGGGGATGGCAGCATTGGCAGAGATTCGGCAACTCCAACGATCTACTAACTTGTGCATCGCTTTGAGGCCATTTATGAGGGTAGTGGGCGAGATCGTCGAAACAGATATCGCACCGGGGGAGTCTATGAGGTTTCAGATGAGCGTCATATCTGCGTTGATGGAAGCGGCGGAAGCATATCTCATCAACCATTTCGAGAGAACGAACATCATTGTTATCCACTGCAAGAGGGTGACGATCCAGCTGAAGGACCTGAGGCTGGTTGATAACTTGTCCAAGGCTCGCTGGGAATACAGATACCAAGGCATTACCGACGAGCAGAAGAGAGCAGAAAAGCTACGACAGATGAATGCTGCAAGGCAAGAGGAGAGAGATGCGCGGGCGGGGAAGGGTCTGTCAGGGAAGACAGCAGCAGCACGCAAAGGCGGTGACACTCCAGCGGCGTCATCGAAGAGGAAAGGAGCCCCGCGTAAAGGCAATGCAGCAAAGAAAAGCACGAGATAAGAACACAGTAAAGACTGCAGTGAGACCGCGCCACGTGACTTGCATTGACTTGCTGTTATCTGCGGCCTGCGGCGGGACACAGGGGCTGTACTGTAGTAGTGCAGATTCGTTGTTTTGTTTGTGTGTGGGCCTGACCGTTGACTAAGTTTGTTGGGACTGACCGCACGCCCCATATGCAATTCTGAATATTGTTGGGCCAGTACCAACCGCTCTTGTGCATACGACCTCACTGTCGAATTGACAGCCCCAGGCTATTCGGAAAGTCAGCGGTGTCAACCGCTATTCTGTGGGATGAGCCCGTAGCCGGGTAAGGTCCAGGCCAAAACTGGGCAAGTTGAGTCGGTGTCGTTGGTATAAATGGTAGCGCAGACTAGGGCAGGCGTATGTAAAGTGTAGATGTATGCTGGGGGATCTTTCTGCCCATTCATACTTCGTGGTGTGAGTTCATGTGCACGACGTTTGCTGCACAAGTCTGGGTCCAGCACACAACCGCTATTGTGTTGTGTGCTGCATGAGCTGCGTACTGGCGATCCTGCAAGAGCTGTTATGTGCTGCATGAGCTGTTGTGAGCCGTGTGCTGTATGGTATTTGAGCTGCTGTGTGCTGTGTGCTGTGTGTTGTGTGTTGCACGAGCTGCTGCGTGGTGTGTGCTGTTGTTTCATGAGCTGTTGTGTGTTGTGTGTTTTGTGTTGTGTGTTGTGTGTTGTGAGTTGTGTGGTGTGTGTTGTGTGTGCTGTGTGTCACCTGCTGTGTGCGATGTGCTGCATGAGCTGAGTAGTGGCAATCCTCCTGTGTGCTGCATGAGTCTGGGGCTAGCAGCGGTCTGGCCTATCACAGGACTGATAGTGGACACCGTGCGGTAAGCCTCAAACCTTCGTCAAGTTTAGGGTGGAGTTGGCGAGGTGCAACCATAGCTGCTTGTTGTCAGAGAGTTCATCGTGTGAGCTTCATCGACGTCAGAGACTGTTGGTGCTGTGCTTCTTCTGCGTTCTCAGTGTTTGACTGTTTCGTCGTCCCGCTGGTCTGTCTCTCTCTTGTTTTTGTAGCGTTGGTGTCTAATTTATTTATCAGGTGCTGGTTGATATTGTATGCTTTGTTCACCACTTGTGTGTATGCTATTGAGGTGGCGCTGATGTGGAGTCGCCACTTCGGTGAGTTCGACGGGAGTTTGTGCTGCGCTGCTAAGCGCTTGAGGTCAGGGGACTTGAACACTCTTTGTTATCATGATTTGGAAATATATGGCAGGCCACAACTGTGTTCTCTTCTTCTTTATCCTTGTGTATGGTGTGAAGACTTGTGCTCATTCAGGGGGTTGACGATGGGTGTTGTGAACACACTTGCGTCTAATGATGTGAATACTTCTGCAATTGTGAGGTACACAGCAGAGACAATATATGGAGAGGACTTGTTCACAGACATCTTCTCGTTTTGTGCACTGTGATGGTGGTGATGTAATTGTGTACAATGCGATACTGCGACATGTGTGACAATGCATGGTGACATACACTAACATACACATAAACAGATTATGTGTGAGTGAGGGCTGGCAAATTGCAGCTGACAATTATGTGCATAACACATCAATGACCGATAGTATGTGTCTGTCGTTTAGTATGTGGGCGTGTGTATGATACATTGTTTACTAATCCTGTGTCTGTTTGTGCTGTCATATGCGCTGCACGGTTGAACCACCGAAGCATAATTATCAAACCAAAATTTGCATCTTCTGAAGCATTGAATCTACAGTGTACGCCGTTGCATTCGTCGACAAAGGTATGGTTGCCTGTGTACCTTGAAACTCAAGCCTGCTCTCCCTCTGTTTGTTTTCTTCTCCCTACAATATGTGCACTCTCGTCGTCCTATATCCCATGTCCTGCTCTCCCTCTGTTTGTTTTCGTTTTATGACTACAGCATGCACACTCTTGACGTCTGCAGTGGTGAAGGGAAGTGACTATCATACTTCCCGTCTTTGTGACATTCCGTGACTTAATGTGACACACGGGCATGTCGAGGCACACGGACATACACAAACAAACTTCCTGACTGTGTCCGTGTCTGTGTCTGTGTGCGTCTGTGTGTGTCTTTCCTGCATATCTGACTGTGTCTGTGTGTCCGTGTCCCCCTGTCTGTGTCTGTTCCTGTCTGCGTATGTCTGTGTATATCAGTGTACGTCTGTGTATGTCCGTGTATGTCCGTGTGTGTGTATGTCCGTATGTCCGTGTCTGTGTATGTCCGTCTGTCCGTTTGACACAGGAGGACACACGGACATACACAAACATGGACATACGGACATACACATACACGGATATACACAGACATGCACTCCCAGGACACAGACGTACGCAGACAGGAACAGACACATACACAGAGACACAGACACACAGAGACAGACAGACACGGACACAGACACACACAAACACAGAGAGGGACACAGACAAAGACACAGACACACAAACAAACACACACACACACACAGACACGGACATGTCCAAGTTGACTACTGCGTGCCGGATTCGTTTCGATGTCATTGAATCGAAGAAATTATGGCACCCAGTAGCCAACCCTCGTATGCGGACAGAGACGCACACGGATACACCGACAGACGCGGACACACAGACATACGGACACGCAGACAGACACAGACATAGACAGACACAGACACAGGCAGACACGGACACAGACACAGACATACGGAGACACAGACAGACACAGAGACAAAAACAGAGACAGACACGAACACAGACATACGGAGACAGATGGTGACACAGACACAGACACAGACGGATACACAGACATAGACGGATACACACACAGACATACACAGGCATACACAGACACGGACACAGACATACGGAGACACCTACAGACACATTCACAGACACAGACGGATACACAGACATAGACGGATACACACACAGACATACACAGACATACACAGACATACACAGACACGGACACAGACATACGGAGACACCTACAGACACATTCACAGACACAGACGGATACACAGACATAGACGGATATACACAGACATCGACGGATATACACAGACATACATGGACATACACAAACATACACAGACATACACAGACATACGCAGACATACACAGACATACACAGACATACACACAGAGACATACACACGCAGACATACGCAGACATACACAGACACACAC